GTAGCCTTCCGGTGCTGTTGCTGTCGGACATCTTCGACTGCCGGACATTAGATGAATGCCAACAGCTGTTCGTTTTGATCGAAAACAAAGTCGATGTCTGGAAGGAAGAGGTGTTCTTCAAGAATGTGAAAAACCAATTGTTGCGGTCGTGTAATGATCTGCTGAGACGACTGTCCCGCTCGCAGAACACGGTCTTCTGCGGCCGTATTCTTGTGTTTTTGGCCCGATTTTTCCCACTCTTCGAGAGATCGGGTCTTAATCTGATCTCAGAGTTCAATCACGAGAACGCGACCACTTTTGCCCTCCAGGAGGACGGAGTGCTCACCGATTCGATGACTAGCGAGTCGTCGACCGCCGAAGACATGAAAGAGTCGGACAAAATACAAGTGGATTACAATTTCATGGCGTTCAAGACCGTCAACGTCCTGAAGAAGGCGTTAGGGTAGTATACGATGTTGGCCTGCGTTACCTTTGTTGAGGTCAGCATGTGGTTGCTGCACAACGTCCGCAAGTCATCGAAATTTAACCACCCAAACTCTTGCGCCAACTTTCAGGTGTTGGGCGACAGCAACGACAGCATGTATTTCGCCAAATACCTGACGAACCAAAAGCTCTTAGAATTACAATTAAGTGACTCTAACTTCCGGAGATATATTTTGGTCCAGTTCCTCATTCTCTTCCAATACCTCACGTCTAGCGTACGCTTCAAACAGGAGGCGCACACCCTCTCGGAGGAGCAGTCCGTTTGGGTCACCGAAACTACCGCTAAAATCAATGCACTCATCGAAGAGACGCCTCCCAATGGGCCCGAAGTTCGCAAAAGCATCGAAAAGATATTAAAACGCGAAGAGTATTGGAGTAATTGGAAGAACGAGGGCTGTCCTGAACTCAAAGAGATCACCGAAAATGAGGCCGAATTCAAGAAGAATGAGACGAGCATTAGATCGACGTATAGCCGAAAACGCAAATTAGGCGATGAGTTGAAGGCCGCGGAAGCCGCGCATCGCATACTAATTGGTAATCCAGAGCTGAACGCCATTTGGAACTTATGTCCCGACAATTGGGAGGCCTGTCGCTCAAAGAAACGCCTTTTCACCCCTTCCGTCGAGAAGTTCTTCGAGAATGCAGTCAAAGCTAATCCCAAACAGAGGGCTGAGATCTGTTCGGACAGTGACTTCAGTTGGCGAGCATTACGTCTGTTGAGTCAAAAGAGTCACCATTTCTTCTCTCCGAGCAATCAAGTGGTGAAACCAGTGAACAGTCATTTGGAAGGAGTGGTCGAGAAATTGTCCAAAGAGTTTCCAACCGAAACCCAAAGCAACGCCAATGACTTCGACATCGATGACGCCGAAGATATAAGTGATGACGAGTTAGGACTTAGGAATGTGGACACCGTGGACAACAATACCACTCCTAACACTCCCAACGATAACTCCAATGAGAACGCAGAAGTGATAGAAGTGATGGACACATAGAAAGACATTTTAAATATGATTTATATTATTTTTGCAAAAATTCATTTGTATTCTCATTTCTTAATCATTTCATTAAATATTGATTTAAATTCCAAATATTGTAGACAAATATTTTTTTGACAATATTTCATAAAATGCTATTTTATTTTTTATTGAATTTGTTTTTTTTTTGTAAATCATTCTCAAAATATCCAAAATGGTTTTCAGTGAAGCATAAAAAAGCTCAAAGACCATAGTAATAATGTATCGCAAAAACTGACAGTACCTACTGATAGATAACTTAAATACAGTATATCCCTGTCCACCACGACTACAATTGAATCAATGAATTGAGGGGCACAACAGTGGCTCAAATGAAGTCCACCCGATGAATGGTTTGCTATGAGGAACGTCCACTCATTCATAAAAAGCAATGGTTTTATTTCCAGAGTTTAGATTTAGTTACTAATGGACTGAGATTTACGACAATCTATTAATTGAACTCAAACTTAAGAACTAGAACTGGTTTTCTGATGACAGACGAGACACAGAATCACAAAATCAAACCATTCATCAGATGTGTTAATATAGAATTAAATTTAATAAATAAAGAAACAATTCATTATTTAATTGAATGATAAATATTAATTGATTTTGTTAGCAATATGTTTGCACCTATTCCTCTCATTGTCTACAGATATGACTACAACCTTAAGACCAGAAGATTTTTAAAAATAAATTCTATGTTTATTAAGTAATTCTTATTACAGCCCTTATGCCTATTACATAAATAAGGGCTGCAAACATATGAAAATGAATATCTGACTAAGTATTTACATTGATTTGGTTACAAATTTTAAAATCAAACTATTTTGTCACAAAAAGTTGTAAATGAATAAAGGTACCAGAGGATTAACTGATCTGTTTACTTCAAGAAATAGAGATCAGATGAAGACAATAATATTGAGAATCAATTCAAGACCTACAACAAAATGTCTTTAAATCACAAATAGTACTTAAAAATCGTTAAGAATTTACAAAATAAAGAGTTAATTTAAAAAGTTGCAAATATTGGTGTAAAACATATTGAATTCTACTCTTGGAAATTATTCTTGTTTTAAATATTAATAATACCCCGATCAATGATTGTATAAGTTAGATTTGTATTTTTAATTAATCAAATAAAATAGAAACTTCCAAAACTTTAAAATTAAATGTCAAGAATTTGTAAAATTAAATATTTTGATCAATGATTTAGAATTTTAGTATAAATATCAATTAAATCATATTTAAATATTATACATTACAGTAAATATAAGTAATTTATTGTAGTTATTTTAATTTTAAATTTATAAACAAATAGCATTCAAATAATATACAATGTCTGTTCACTTTTTGATTAATAACTTTACGTAATACAACATCATACAATTGGTAAATGACGCGATTGTACATAACCGTAAAGCACCGAGAATATACCGATAAAGTATTGATACCGGTACTAAGTTATAATTAAATTATAAATACTGTAGTTTTTCAAAAATGATTACTTTCTGGTGCATTGTGTACTGTACTGTATTGTGTAAATTAAAATTAATTGATTTACTATAACTTTGTTTCCATGTGCAGCCCTTTTAACCTTTGATTTCATATTTAAAAATGTGTTTTATTTAAAAATTAATTTATATAAAACACATTTTCAATAGGATTTTCTATAAAAATAGTAATAAGATTGCATATTAATAGCAATTATTAATCAATTATACCACACATAAAATAATTGATAACAGAATTTAGGTAGAAATTATATAAAATTATTAATTATTATAAAATGATTAAAACTATTAATCACATATAAGTTAATGGGAATTTATGATTGAAAAGCATATGTTTTATAGACAATAACAAAGTGTACAGGACAATAAATTATCAAAATTAGACATAAAATGTGTTGAAAATTACTTTTTTCAAAAAAATATGAATCCAGTAATTAAATATAATATTTTAATATTAAAAATAAGTAATTTATAAATTAAGAAAAATTAACAGAATTGAAATCAAAGTTCAAGAATCTTAGCCCAAAATTAATCCTAATCTCAAACATAAACCAAAATAAGTCACAATTGAAAGTTCAGTGAACTGTTAAAGTCTTAATTCTACAGACATTTTCATCACTAATACATTGAAAGTTGACATTAAATTAGATTTCCGTTATTTACTTATATTGGCACTGATTTTCATTTACTCATAAACAATATAATAGTATTAAAATAGTAATGAATGACTTTTACTATATTTTTCAGAAAAATGAGGAAATGTTTTCACTTTATTCTGAATTCTTAACAAAAATTCTGTACTTTAAAAGATTTTGATAAAACTTTGAGTCAATAGTATTTGTGATAACTGTAGAAAGGATTGCCATTAATCTATATCTGTAAGCTTCAGACTGAAACACAGAAAAGTTTATTTTGAATATAATTTACTCAAGCAAAAGTTAATACTTTACCAGTTAATATTGTAATACCTGTAAACCTTTTTGCTTTTGAACTCTATTTGAACTCAAAATTTTAAGTAAACTAAATAAATATTTAAAAACAAATAAATTTAAACATTAATGAAGAATTTCATTCATTTCCTGCTAAACAATAAAATATTTAATAAATAAATTAATGAGAAACAATTAAAATACAATTAAATGAATGCATATTTATATAGACATCTCAAGTGAGGGGAAATGAATTCAAAATAAGCGCTAAAATGATTGCAAAAACCAATGGATTTGAAAGTATTTGTTTTGTAAACAACATATGATTTGCTCTCATTTCACACTAATTCACCACAAAATCAGTTTAATCGCCGTTTAGACCACTCTTTGGCCACNAAAGTATTTGTTTTGTAAACAACATATGATTTGCTCTCATTTCACACTAATTCACCACAAAATCAGTTTAATCGCCGTTTAGACCACTCTTTGGCCACTATTTAGTGATTAGTTTTGATTGAAAATTGTTATATTTATCACAAATCAGTCAACACTTGGGTATTGAGTGGACAGAAGAGGCAAACATTGAATTGAGTCCACAATTGAAGAGTTGGTTGACTCGCGAAGACTATAACGCAGACCACGTCTTGAGGTGTTGAGACATTGGATCCCATTTGTCATTAGTATAGTTGTATTTGTGACCACAAAACAAAGGCATGGATTACAAGTCGATACTATCTTTGGCCGAAAAAAATCAAGAGATGAAAGACGCCAATGAATTCATTGTGAAGAAGAGGTCTAACGGCGGATACACTTCTGGGCCCAAGAAGTCGGCCATCGATGCCTTCAAAGCCCGTAAGGAAAGGGAGGAAATGGAGAAACAGAGGGAACGGCAGCGAGAGAAGGACCGTCTGATGGCAATGAGATCACAGAACTCGAAGTCCATGAAGAAGGCGAAGATGATGCAGACGCGCACCAAAGACAACGACTTCTCGCGGATCTTATTAACGGACTCTCAGATCGAGGAACAGAAGAGAGTGGAGGAGAAACTGAAACTGAAAGGCACTCAAGATTTGGTCCAAATCAAGAAGTCTAGAGAGGATAAGGAGGACAAAGTGGTTAGAAATGCGGCCAAAAGTAGTGGTAATAACCGATTGAGTGATAATGTGCTACAAAACAAGGGTTCAGACAAATCGGTCAAAACGAAAGACGCGCCGAAGAAACCGCCGCCGAAGCCGTCCATGAGTTACGAACAGCTGTTGAGTTTGGCCACAGAGAAGACCAAAACAGAGAAGACTTCTTTGATAGACGACATCACGTCTCACGTCGAGGAGAAGAAACAGATGCGACCCATGACTCAGAAAGAGAAGGACAGACTCAAGGAAGAGATGTATTACAAGCAGAGGGCCCACAAAGGGTTGGCCCGATTGCCAGACGCCGAACGCCATAAACAACTCAATCAAAAGCCCGTCTCTCGTGATATGAAACGGACTCCAGATTACAGTAAAAAGACGGATAACTATAAGAACTCAAATACTAGTAATA